TTCGTAAGGGACGAGATACTTAAGACAAACTGTATAAGAACACTTCCCAACATTCACAGAATCGCAAGGCTGTCGATGGTTCCCTCTTTCGAGGTTTGCTTAAAAACAAGACGAGGAGGAATTTCAACTCCTGGCATATGTAATACCAATTTATTATGGAAATGAATGAACGAGTATAAGAAAAACTGGCTCTCCCACTGGCCAGTTCTGTCCTTGTTATTCAGCATGACAGCGATGCCAGAGATAGCTCGTTCAGCCAAGTATTCATTGATTTTTTGGTAAAATTGCTCCACTGGTAATTGAAACAGCGCAAAAATCAATAGCGCGTCTACTCGGAAAAAGGGCAATCGAGAAAAAAAGACAAATTTGAGTCAAGTGGTGCACCTCAACCAAAACGATAACTTCGCTTTTTATATCCCAACATTTACATGCGTCGTTTAGTGCAATCACTATAGAATTTCGCAAATTCTCATCTAGAACTTGCGCTTCCTTAGTTTCCACCATTCATATGGGCAAGTTCCATTCATTTTCTTTGTTGCAAAAGGAAGAAGGTGCTAGCAGCAAGGTAACGAAGCTGGTGGCTAAACCCCTTCGCCTTGCCCTGTTGCTCTTCAGTTCCATGTGGTATGAAAATGTCCCGTCTCCTGAGTCGAGTTCCCCCTCCCCCTCCCCCGCACCCTTCCCGCGTGATATGTAATGTTGTGATTAGAAATAAAGGAGTGACTGTTTTTTGTGTCACAAGAATTGTCTAGTGGCAGCTTGCAGCTGCTGCTGCCCCTCCACTCCTCCGCTGTTCGGTGGTAGCTTGGAGATGCTGCCGAATTCGTCGAAATTTGTGAGTTTTTCTTGTTTTTTTTTAAGTAAAGCTTCCTTTATCGGTTTGGGCGAGTACCCCACAGCACATCTTCTGCAGCCGTACAGCCCCCCACCCCCCTCCCCACCAACCTTCGCGTGTTACACCTTCGTATCAAAACGACAAAAAATACCTCTTTTCACAAAATACGCCAGTAAATCACCAGTAACTGATATTCAAATTAAAGGACAGCAAAAAATATCGCAAATTTTTCTGCAAAATAAAAAAAATGTGTAAAGTAAGATACGCACCCGGAAGTTTTCCATAGTAACAGCTAGTGAGTTCAGTACTTCCGCATCAATTGTATCCTCTTCCAAATCGATCAGTTCCATTTTTTCACGAATCTGTTGCAGTGCTGCTTCCGAACACAGTGATGCTAGATCGGCACCAACATAGCCGTGGCATTCATTCGCTACCTGAAAATTTTCAATCACATATATTTTATATTAAAAATCATGTGACTGTTGGGAGCAAGTGATCCTGCTCTCCCCTTTCGAGAACGTTCCAGCGTACAACCCTGATCTGGAGCGTAAATCGACTGGAGGAGTTCAGGGCAGTATGTTGGCGACTGATAGGACTGTGCGGTCGACACAAGAAGGATCGACATCTCCCCCAGCAGCAGCTTCGACAGCAGCTTGGGGAAGTGGAGTCTGAAGGCCGGACGGACCATGCTGACCGTGGTACCCCGGTCAGCACCAACCGAAGAATCATAGACTCGGGAGCTCCGTAACTACCAGTGTTGATATTTTCTGTTGGACTGATAAAAATCGTACTCGACGTGTGTCGTAACGGACACAACAGTAACTGACAGCGTCAAATGGAGATTTTTCTACGAAACTAGTTGAAATTGGGTTTCTTAATGTTGATTACAGTTAAAAAATGCCAAAACTCCCCCTATTCTTTCTCGATGAGAAGGTGGCGGAACTAGAAAGTAGCCTGTGTGGTAGCACATGCCAACACCAACCACCAGCTGTCGATAGCTTTTTCTTTTGAAACGAATGTTAGACGGATTAACTGCCCCTACGGGCAGAGTTAAAACTGTAATTTATGGCCACTGGAAAGGCAGAATCGTAATTTAATCTATCGCGCCCTTCGCCAATTTAGGCTTTCAGGGTTAACCTGGTTGCTACAGTCGGCTTAAAAAAAAAAAAACATCAAAACTGGACGGTCTGGAAGCAAGTAAAACAATAAGGAGCGACCAAAGTCAACGAATTCATAATCCTAGGACGGGCGAGCGGGGGGAGGGGGAAGGGAGGGACTGATTTAAGGAATTTTTGGATGGAACTTTCGGTCTTAAGACGTAGGCCACTGGAGGGGAGTGG